TACATACAGAGTTATATATATATATATATATATATATATATTCTTCACATATATAATTATGTACATATATAGGATTATATCTGCATGTATATCGCAACGCACTGTAGTCGGAATTTTGGTAATCTCATTAAACAATGACTCGAGACTCAGCCTTTATACGGAAGCCTCAGTTGAATATAATGAACATATGAAATAGAGAGAACACGAAGATATTGTCGGAGATATATCACTCATTCGAACACGAAGACCAACATACACAATGACTTAACAATCAATGCGAATGCACCGAATGAATGTATTTCCCATTTCACCCATGCATACACTCAGCAATCTAAGTCATATAAACAAATCTTTAAGATGCCATGAGAGCCTAGCCAGCCAGCCAACACCGCTCGCCATCGCATTGCATATGATCGCCCGTGATACATAATCAAACGTAGAAGGTACGAGCACACACACACATATATATATGTATATAGTATACATATATCTATACAAATATACACATCCTGCCCTGAACTTCCAATACAACCCTAGTATGCACAAGCACACCTCTAGCGGCCCACATACCCTGTCGCTATCGACGTACTGGACGAGGTCACCCTGTGTGCATCCCGTTAGCTTGAGATAGACTAGCACTTGCACTTGTTCGTGCAGGTGTGGTGGGTTGAATATCCTTCCACCAGCCCGGTTCTTGATCTCCACGACCAACCTCTGCATGCCACATACACCGTTTCCCTCATCTTGCCCAAGTATATCGTCACCTTGGCCATCAGTCACGTCTATTCCTACAGCCACCTTCGCGTCGGGTTGGGTGGCTTCGTCCCCCTGGTTCACTTGGTCGTTCAATCCGTTCGACACATGATCTATCTTTTCCTCTCTCGTACTCGACGACAGGTTGTCCAGATCCAAATCTGAACCGGTACATGCGTCCCCGTCCTTATCCCCCATATGCGTCTGCACGCCCCCTGTGCCAGCTAGCGTACTGCATGTGCCTGAATGCCCTTCTTGATTGCTCGGATTGATAGGCTCTCCGTCCCTCTCAGTTTGCTCTCCATGTACATCCTTCTGTTTCGTATCGCTGCTGACTCGCCCATCGTCCATCTGCCCTTCCCCATCACTTAAGTCCGTATTCGCTTTCTTCACAGCCTGGCCACTTCCCGCCCGTCTATCCGTGTTGATTTTGCTACAGCCCTGTCTCATCTCCCCAGCCCCCCCCCCAGCACCCACAACCGCAGCACACGCCTTTCTACCCAGCAAGTCCTCTGGCACACACTCCGTCGGTGCCATCAACGCTGCAGTCTCCGCTATAGGCGTCTGTGCCGCGGCGTCTGTGCCTACTGCACTGGCGTCACGTGAACGCATGCGAAGTCTGCTGTTAGTCTTGTTCTCGTCTACGCTCTGAATCTCATCGTCCATCTGCGGTTCTTGCAACAGGTCAGTCGCCGGTGCTACTGAGTCGACCTCTTCTCCGTCTTTCTCTCCCTCGCAGCTTTGTGCATTGATAGCCACATCGAGTCGTGCAGTCGCTGTACAAACACTCTCAGTCACATCAATCGTATATATACTTTCTGGTCCGTTTCGTACGGTTGACTCGGGCTGTCCACTCCCCCTGGGCTGTGTGTGCGGTAGTATCGGATTCGTCTGTGAATCAAGTGTCTGTGTTGGTACAAGTGTATGTGGCTGCTCTAGCGTACCTATTTGTGTGGGTAAGATCGTCAGTGCGTCCTCAAACGAATCTACACTTGCACTTATTTGTGAGTTCGTGAGTCGATCTGCAGGTAACTGGGTCTGATCATCCGACTCCCCGTCCTGGTTTTGGGCCGATAAAGCTAAGCTAGCCGTCCCATCATCGTCGTCACCCTGATCGTCGTTGCCAGCGCTGTGCACGGTGCATTTATCATTCCCCGCGGGCAGTTCTGAGTTCTGGGTGTTTCTTGGCAAGGCGTCAGAACTCATTGGCGAGGTCTTGGCATCCTCGCTTGCTCCATTGGCCGTACCATCAGCTACAGCCACGCCCTTAAGTGTTCTTGTGTGTGGCATGACACCGTCTGAATGACTGATTGGAACAGGAGTCTCCGATTCCACCTTACCCTTACTCCTATCAATAGAGAAGTACTTGCCGAGAGTATTGATCTTTGCAGCTGGTTTTTGGCTTGTGCCTTTAATTGGACTTTTGGCTTTCTTGGGATATTTGGGATATCGAGCTGGATTGCGCAAAGGTCTGTATGGGTTTGGGAGGCTGGGCGTTTGAGCCTAAAAAAATCAATAACACACCAGGTAGTAGCATCGATACGCACACGTATATAGTACCTGTACAATACGGTGTACTGACAACGAACACCATACGCAAGTATATCCATTACGTGAGCGAATTGAAATCCCACAGAGGCCAGCCTCCGAATAGACTTTCACATCTACTACGCAACTGTGGATGGCAATTGATACACTTTGTACCAGACATTTAGTAGAGCAGAAACATAGCCGTTAACCTCATTTACTGCACACCGAGACAATTGACCCGCACCCCACACCACTAGATATGATTGACCCACACTCACACCACTAGATATAATTGACCCGCACTCCACACCACTAGATATTATTGACCCGCACTCCACACCACTAGATATAATTGACCCGCACTCCACACCACTAGATATAATTGACCCGCACTCCACACCACTAGATAAAATTGACCCGCACCCCACACCGCTACAGATTTCAGAGCTCGACTCGCCTTTTCTGCGGCTTCGAATCTCTAGCCTCGTTCGTTGGTTTCCCGGAACCGGTAGTCTCGTGTGATGACGAAGCACTGGCAGGATTAGCTATCTCCACTGCGGGAGCTAGAGCAATGCCGTCTATGAACCCGATGATGTCAAAAGACTTGGCTCTCTTGTTCGTTCGGGGAATAAATTGGATATCGTCGGCCGTGTCCATAACGCCATCTGCAGTGGTATCATCTGCAGTGGTATCTACACTCATCATATAGCACTGCGCGTTGTTTTCGCTTACAAAGTATCCTGAGACAGACGAGAGCACCGTTGGAACATGTGCCGCATGGCAATGACATGACGCAATAAGGTATTGTTAATTGTGTTTGAAACGTTAACGAACGAAATACTGCGAAGAAAAGGACTTCTGTTGCACTGAAATGCCACCCTACTCATCGTAGTCCATGTCCAGCACATTCGCACGTACATACCTTATCAGCTACACAAGCCGCCCATACAGAGTAAGGGGTTTGGAATTTAAATTAAAACCTAAACCCCTAAGACAATTCTGACCACAATATACGACAGTGTATGAAGGGCCCGTGCAGGCCAGACTTCGTATATCAAGTCAACAGAACAACCCCGCACCACAAGTCAGGTACTACCACAGAGCGTGACTAACCTGTACGATCTTCGTATTCCTGCAGGGCAGTGTTCTCTTTACGGTTCCCAAAGTTGGTGAATAGACTGGAGTTGATGGCCCTTTGTAGCTCGTGAATCTCATGCACTGGCAGTTCCTTCTTCACTAAGGCCGTTTGGATAGCCTTGGACGCCTGCTTGCCAAAGATCTCAACATCGGCGACACTCTTGACCTTCTTACCGTCCTGATTAGCAGACACAGTGTGATACTTGTGACGAGCCTGTACACGACGGTATATAGTCTACGACTATGGTATGCATTTATACAGGCAAGTCCTGGTACAGACGTATAGTTAGTTATACTAGCATATGCGACAACAGTGGCATCTAGACATGCCTTCTCGGTTCTATACGGCGCAAACGCAAGACCACGTTACAGGCCGAATCGATGACAGTTGTGATTTTGTGGTCATACCAACATAAGACGATTGCAGACTGCACCTCTACCTAGAAATTAAACTGTCGAGAAATCGTGCCTGGACATACCATGTAGGCACTGTACAGTAGGACTCCGTTCTAACTTAACTGCAGTGTATATATACTTCAGCAAACCTGAGCAACAACATTGAATCCTGATAACAACATACGTGGGACTCCGAACAACAAACAACAAACAACAGGCAATTATCTACAGTGCCGAGGTTGAAAGACGCGTACGATACTAAAAGTATATTGATATCACACATCAAAGACCCAAGAAAAGACTGGCGTGACATTGCCGATTTCTACGTGAAAAGTCCCGAGTGAGGCATACAGAACGAACACAATCCGATTTGGACATATGCACAACGTAGGAACGCAGTATGTACAACCGAAGTGCTTTACGAAAGGTTTGGCACACAGGCAACGGACGAATATTATCCGCAGGGCTACAGACCAACCCAGCTATCCATGCATGTAACATAGCACATGACAGTTAATCATATCAGACGTAACATGTAAAGACACGCACTTTAGAAGCCTTCAGCACGGATTTGAGCTCCTTCGCTTGCGATGTCTGAGCCATGAGTTCTTCCACTTTCTGCTCCTCAGAGATAATCGAAATATCCAAGTTTGCAGCATCCATCTTCATCAGATTCGGAAATCCTTTGTATACATACTGTAATAAAGATATAAGTAAAGTGAATATAGGCACAAGACAAGCGAGTATCCTTTTCTATAGAAATTAAACCCCTCTCTCGCCGCTAAGAGTAATAGTACCGTTCCATCATCGTCGAAGTTAAAAAAGGCTGGCAATAAGTGCATGTTGATGAGTAATCATAGATACAAAGAGTTTACTTGGCCTCAACCACATACTGTTCGACACAGACACACTTCAGCACTACAATTCAAACCACACATAACAGCAAGCTGAGTCAAAGCAAAAAATTCAATCTGTACATCACCTATCCATTGCTAAGACCTCCCTAACAGCTGACAAAATTATATATACTTCACACCTTCAAGTAATCGAAACAGACCGCATTCCTGAGTGCTCGATTCGTATATGAAAACACACTTCCACATATTCACTATTTTTACTATTTTTAAACACATTCAAGCAATTTAGCATGCACACACCTTGAATAGCAGTTCTCCGGGTCGAGCGTACTTGTTCAGCCCACAAATGGCCGCAACATCGCTGGATGCTATCTGAATATTATCAACGACTCCTTTCTGAGCATACTCCATGAACCCCAGCGCCGCATCACTCAACTTAGAATTCCTAGTCTTTGGTCGCCTACTGTGCCGGGTGCGTTCGCCTATGGTAGCCTGTGTGGTGAGTTTGTTCGGCGCGCTCTTATCTGCTGGGACCGTAGAGAAATTGTTAATATTCCGGTCCACACAGGGCACTATAATCTCAACACCATTATCGAAAGTGGAGCGAGTTGGGCCTATTCGCTCTCCAAAGTTGTTAGCATCATCGCCATCTTCTGTTATATCGATCATGTTGACTACGCGTCGCCCCACGCACTCCTATCACTCTGACTCTTAATCACCCTGTCTAGGTGTATATAAGCACAAAGGTACGAGTGAAAAACCATACCTTGGATGAGCAATAAAACCTACGTGTACACAATACATAAACTGAAAACACAACAAGTAGACCCTTAAATATATATAT